ACATGTTAGTTAATTGCATTTTATCTGTTGACAGTATGATTATCTGTTCATGCTTATATGTATAAACTGCTAATTGAAGGCCTTATCGGCGGCCGAATCCGAAACCGATTAGTGTTCTATGATCCTTAGAATTAATGTGATTTTATGGTGTATTTACCTGAAAATTGATTAGGTATGATTAAATTAGATTAAATAAGCTAATTAAAGAGTTGGACTTAATTACCGTTTTGCCCTTGAGTGGGCCACTATCTCACACGCACACTTGAGCCTTATGTACACACTTGAAGAACATTTCATCAGCTCTTGTGTTGCCTCTAACCGACCTAGAAGAGAGTTAGAGAGAGAGAGAATTGTTCTTGTTGTTTTAGCTTGAGAATCTTGAAGAATTGAAGGAGTTTTTGTACATTTGAGCTTCCCTATCCTAAATACAAGACTAAAGGTAGCTCCATTGTCTTCTTATTCATGTTTTAAGTTGAATCTTGCATGATTTATGTCATATTGAAGGAGTGTAGAGCCAAACATGGTTTAGATGGCGAATTGTAGCTTAATTGTTGCATGCATGTACATATATTGAAGTTTTGAGGTTGTAAGTCCATGTTTCCTCACATGCATGTCCATCTTTTGGTCATACTCCATGAGTTCATCTTGTTTTTGAAGGTTTGAGCTCTTTTGAAACAGCATTGAAACTTTTAAAATGATTTAAGATCATGCATGTCAAGTTTGAGGATCGTTCTTGAAAAATGGTTTGAAATTGAGTTTGAATTAAACACCCTTGGGCTTTGATTTCTAAAAATTGAGCTTTGAAACATGATATTCTATGCGTTTATAAATGTTTTCCAGAAAATGGGCCCAAGAGGATTGGTTTTGATGCTTTTGAGCTTGGTTTTGAACCTGGAGCTCGAATCTGGGATTTCCAGATTTCAGTCGTCCGCTCGAGCGGGGGAAGTGCCGCTCGAGCGGGAAAATCGAGCTTCCAGCATCTTGCACTGTTTTACAGTCCACTCGAGCGGAGGATTGGGCGCTCGAGCGGAGTCATGTCTCAAGCTCGAGCGGGCGTCGAGCGGTTTTTCAACTCCAATGCACTAGGCATATGATTAGGTATTTTAGCTCAACTCA